TCCTGCTTGCAACCCCCCTTGCTCCCCTTCGTGCAGGCTGGCCAGTGTGGCTACCTGCCTTTCCACCCCTCTTCATAATGTGTTCCTTTGTATGTAAACTGGAACCTCTAAGTGTGCTGTGTGCCACGGATTAGATTTCTGGATGTTATATAAATGTGTGTGTAGATAATATATTGAGAAGAGTTGGTGTGGTGGAAAGAATGAATGATGTATTAAAAAATATATATATATACATATACATACATATATACTCATATATATTTGCCTAGGATCTATTCTGTATATAGGAATTTAGTTTTTATATATACAAAAACTAAATTCCTATATATAAAATAGATCCTAGGCTACTACTAACCCTATCCATTATAAGCATAAACTAATATGAAAAGTAGTTATAAAATAAAAGCACCAAGTTCTCAGAAATCCCTGTTGCTAGCGTTGCAAGCAGGGAATCTGTTGAAGATCAGGGCTTCCAGTCGTTGTGGTCTGACACAGAGGTGCTGGAGAACACCAGCAGCTCAGAAACTGACCCCAAGGCGGAAAGCAGGGGAGCTGAAAAACTGCTGCCTTTTATGCATTTTCTCTGGCCCTCCCCCAGAGCACTGGGATTGGAAGAGACCTCAGAGAATGCTAACAGGTCACTGGCCAACCACACGTCAGTCATGAAAGCACTCCTTCCCCCTCCCTCCCCTTACCTTCCTTTCCCCCCCCCGAATATTAAGTCGAAGCTTTGCACAGCCCTAGTTTTTAGAGGTACTTGCCACTTGAAGAAAAAAAACGAGACATCACATAAAGCCCAAATGTTAATCTAACCATAAGCTATGAATCACAAAATGCTGAATTTTTTTTAAAGGCTGACATGTACTCTAATTATTAAAATGACTTTCAGGAGGAGAAAGATTCTTTCATTGTTAACACATACATTACCTATTCAATTAAGTCCCAACTTGACCAAATCTGATGGCTTAATCCATTTAGATTTATAATAAAGTACCATTAGCAATACTTGCAGCCTTACTAATCCCTATATGACCAGTTTCTCACCAATCTCCAAGCTTCCTAAATTCTTACCAGTAGAATATAATATTTTAAGAAGGTAAGCATCAGTTACTATTTGATACATACATTTAGAAACAAAAATGTTGACCTATGGACTATAAGCAAACAGTTTATTATTAAGATGAAAGATGGATCAAACCTTCATTACTGTCTGTAGTGATTTCTGAAGAACTCTGCATTAGAGAAACTGGCTCTGGTTGTGAAGACACCCACTCTGAGTTATTTATCTGCAACAAGAAAAGAAAGGTACTGATGAGCTCAGAAACTAAAATACATTTAAATCTGAACAGAATCTCAACTGACTGACTAAGATGGTGGAGGATCTCAGTATTTCTCCAAATCTAGGTAACACAGTCTGGAGTAACAGCTGGACTTGATCTCTTACATACACCATCTGATAAAGTGAACTTCGGTTCACGAATGCTTGTGCTCTTCCTTTCCCTCTCTAGTTAGTTAGTCTATAAAGGTACATATCTATCTTGCCTTCTGACTGACTTCAAACTGACATGGCTAACTAACTACCTCTCTCTAAAATTTAAAATGTTGCTGATTGGGCACCTGCACTTCCCATTTATTTCAATGGGTTTGGTAGATCCCTCACAAATAAAAATCAGGCTGTAATTTTTATATTTACAGTAGTACTGTAGTTATGGCATAGTAGTTGTTACATCTTTTTCATAAAGATAATATGGTACAAAAAATCTGGACAGCTTTTTTACTGCTATACTCTGACCTCTGTCCCTGTATAGAGCCTGGCATTTCCAATTTTCTAACATTTCACTGTAGATACAGAAGTATCCTCCCATCTTTTCCAGCTACACCCTCTCTTTCAGAACAGGTAATTCCATTATCCAATCTACCAGTCCAGCTTGTAACCTCAATATTCTCTTTTCTCCTCCTTCCATGCCCTATTATTATTCTTTGCACCTATTCCATCCTATTCTAGAACCCTACTCTCCAAGCTTTCATCCATTCCCTCATCACCTTCTGTCTTGAGGACTGAAATATATACCTAATTTCCCTTTCCAGGCCATGCAAGAATCTGATGCAAAAACTCTCTCATTTTCCTCACTCAGATTATGTTACTCCATCACTTAAAACTTTTATTTACTTTCACATAGCTGAAATGTTTGGTCTTCAGTCTCAAGAATCTGTGCAACTACTCCAGCCTACACCTCTACCTTTCTGGTTCCACTTCTTGCTCCCTTCTTTGGTTTGCCCAGGATCCACCTATCTTGAGTACCAGAGCTTCTGTTTCTGCTGCCTGGCTGAGGCCAGGGTGGCTCATGTGGCAGGGGAGACCAAGTGATATGGGGGGAGGAGTATGGGAGGCACTACACGGGTGGAAGGAACACGTACCCCTGTGGTGCTGGGCAGGGGGAGAACTGCTGCAGCTCTGGCTCTGGTCCTGTAAAGGCCAGGGGTCAGAGCCAGAGCTGCCATTTGACTGAAGCCAGGTACCAGAGTCAGAGCCAGAGATGCTGCAGAGTAAACAGCAACAGGGAGGCAGCCACGCCTGCAGGAGCTTTTCCTGCTACTTGCCCGGCTGCCATTGCTTTCCCCACCACAGCAGCAGGGGGAGGCAGGGTAGATAACACTTTGATATCTCTGTCTCTCTGTAAGTGCTATATTATAGCAATACTTGAATTGTATTTGCATACAGGTTGTAACTGTATTACAGAGATTTCTTTTGTTGCAATGTCTCAGGAATATCTGTTTATAGTAATACAGTTTACAGCTTTAACATCATCCTTGCTAAAATCACTTCCCAGCACAGGCATCTGAATTCTTCTTTACCATGCTCTTAATACTCATAAAACTCTAAACTGTCTACAGCAAACAGTTTCAGATAAAATTGCAAAACAAGATACAGCAGAACAAAAAAAGATAGAGCATATTAAGGATTCAGCTGTGAAAGCAAACTAGAATTAAGAGAGAATAAGAACAGCAAGAAATATAGCACTGTAGCTCTTTTACAGATCTGGTAAGTTATCTGGGAATTATTTGTTCCACAGAAAAGTTTATACTTACTATTTGTTAAGACTTATTGAACCCTTTATTGTATGGTAAATTTAATCACTTAAGTGTTTAATTTGAAAAATGTACTGAAACCAAAAGAATTACCTCTATGGATTACATTATAAAGAGAAAGGTAGCTTTAACCGTAACTAGGCCTGAGCTACCATGAATCTTACACAAAAGGTATTGTTTTAGGTTTCAGTTCCCCCTTAAAATGCATGTTAAACACCACAGAATCTAAGCAAAGAAGTTATGTACAGTATTTTTTTTACCTTAGGCGAAACATGTGATGCAAAAAAATCTTCTTCTTTGTGTTGGGGGGATAAAGGTGGAATTCCACAGCCATCTGTCCACAGCTAGAATTAAAAAAAAGTGCTTCAGTTTTTACCTGACATTATAGGAATGTTCCAGCTATATACGGCACATTTTTTTTAAATTACTTTTGGCAAGGATACTAGCTGATTTTTCATAATAAGAATGTCCCTTCCCACCCTAAACATATTTGATCTTTAAACACAAACCTTTCCATTTCCCCGCTTTTGATGTCTGTAAAGAGCAATCTCTCTCCAGACAACTGAAATTCCTGCATAAAATGTCTTAGCACAACCTCTGTAGAACCAGCATTTAACAGCCCTGAAGCTTGAGTACTGAATGCAATAAAAGAAATAAATTATTCCTCAATTGTCTCCATAATAGATTCATTTTCACATAGTAAAAAAACAGGGCTGTCAAGCAATAATTTAATAAACTTTCCAAAGAATCTCAATTTGTCTCAGTCCTACTCCAACAGAATTTTTCATCTGCTCTGAAGAAGAGTTATAATAACAACTCTATAACGTTATTATAATGAAGGACCCAGTTTTTCAAGGAACTGGCTCTAATACAGGCTCTTCAAGGTAGCCTTCAGAAAATGACAGGATAAAACTTTAATCTTTGACCTGTGTCCCAAGACTACAAATAAAGGAAGACATAGCTAATGGTGAAGTCTATTATCATATTTGTTCATATTCATTCATTGTGTTCACCTTTTTCCTGGAAATCTGCAATAAAGAAAACTGGGCCATGCGTCTTAGATAAGGAACTAATTCTGAACAGTTTAAAGGGAAAAATCATTTTTTCTCCGCTCTACATTCTCAAAACAAGGTATACATCTATCATTGATCAAAGTGATCTAAAACACTTATTCTAAGCATTTAAAAAAACAGGCAGCAAGAGACCCTGATTTAAATTAATAATTTTAATCTTGTTTTGTATTTGTTCTTTTTAATTATGTTCCTGAAAAAAGGTTGATTCCTAATTACTGGTACTTCTCATTAACTAGAATGATGCGTGATAAACATTCATCTTGACATTATATAGCCCAATATACACTTATTCAAAACCATAAGAAATCCATCACTTATTTACTAAATATTTTACTTGTGTGCATTCTTAATCTTGACACACTTAAAAATATTTTAGTTAAACAAAGCTAATAAAACACACTGCATGCATTACAGAATGTTTAAACACATTTGCAAATTAAAATTGATTTGCTAATAAAAGAAACATTAGTTTTAGTTAGTGAATTTAGCTGAACTGGTTAAATAAAACTGAAAAAAATACTCTTTCTGCACCTGTGGTAGAGGTTACTGCACATGCCCAGCAAGAACACCTGGAGCCCTCTGGGACAGGAGTGACCTTGCCTAGACAGGCCCTCCCCATAGGAGATTAGAGGTAGCCTGCCCCATAAAAGAGGTAGTGAAGACAGACTCCTTGGGACGCCCTCTCCATCTGAGCCAGCACCATGCCACACCACCCATCCACCCAGAGGTCCTGCCGACAACCCCCCTCTGGACAACACCTACTGGACAAGGACCCCTTTCCAGTAGCTATCACCCCCACCCTCTCTTCAACCAAGGACTTGGACTCTGTTTCTCTTCCCTACCTGGACTCCAACCCTTCCACTGAGTCTCTTTCTCCTGCTGCCATTGTGAGTGCTTGTGTGTGTGTGCATGTGTGCGTGAACCAATAACTTCATGGGGCTGTGTAGTGTGCTGTCCACTTAATAAAACTGTTATTTGGACCCCTAAGTTGGGTTTTACTTTACTGTGGTTCAGCACTGCTCCAATCTCTGCTCCTCGCCCCTCTAACTTCTGTCTCATTTCTCCCTCTCCTGCTTCTGGCTCACTGCCACCTCCAACACCTGTCCTGAATGTCTCTCTACCTTCAAACCCCCTGTTTCTTTGCCACTGTCTTATCCCCACTGCCTTTTCCTTTTCCCCTGAGCAACCAGATTTCTGCCTCAATTTCTTTCCTGGCTGTCTCCTCCTTGCCACCACTTATCTGCCCCCCCAACCCAATATCTCAGCTGTCTGCCTCAGTTTCCAGCCCCAGTCTACCTTAAGTAAACCCAAGCATCAGTTCCTCAGCCAGCTTCTCTGTAGTCCACCGGTTCTAATCCTGGTTCTGGCAACTTTTACTCCCTACACTTTAACTCTCTCTCTCTCACCTGAACCTCCCCTCAAGTACCCCAAGCACACACATACATACCGTGCCATCCACGTTAGGAACCTACCTATGTGTACCTGGGTTGTATGTCTGAGAACTGGTGTGTGTGTGTGTGTGTGTGTGTGTGTGTGTGTGTGTGTG